GTTTTAAACCCCCCCCCCCCCCCCCACACACACACACACACACACACACACAAACATGCTTTACTTGTTTTCTTCTTTTCGGCACTAGGGGCCAATCACTAAAAACTGTCAGAAAACTCCAGACTGCTTCATAAAGTTGTAATTTTTTCAAATGTAAAACTGCCCAATCCTTGACATAAACACATCAACCTCTCTGGTTGGATTGGCTACATTTCTGTGGTGTCACAACAAAAATCTGATTTGATTTGTCTATCCTGCAGCCAATCAAATTCACTGCCCCACCTGTGGGACATGTGGGGTTAGCTGACTGTAATTGGCTGTATTGAAGCTGTAGACCATCCCACTTGGTAAAAAAGGGTGTCAAGCTATAAAGGTAAGAACCGTCAGCCTGGTTCTCAGAATAAAGCCCCGGTAGCATCTGGAAACGTTTAAAGGAAGAAATCACACCGTTTTTGCTCACCGGTGGAACAACAACAACTGTTATGGTTAGAATAAAAATGCGGAATTCAGGAAAAAAAAACTGAATTCAGGAAAAAATAAAACCGATTTTATGTGGCCCTACATTTGACCCCACAGCTATAACTTTGTTCCTTCACATAAGAAGATCTTAGTCTAAAACGCTGGAATGAAGCTTGTATGAGGAGGACTTGTATTGATTTATCATTTTTAACCTCAACTTCATCAAACCATAAACCAGTCCAGAAGCTGAAAGATCTTCTCAGTTGTAATATTCTTTTAATGTGTTATGATCCTCTGACGAGTTCCTTCTTTAACATCTGCAGCTTTTGACTGGGGCTTCTACCTGGAGAAGGAAACATCTTTGGCTGCATCTGTCTCCTGCTTTGAACATGTGAGTCCTGTGTGTGAGCTGGAAGTTGCTCTTTACTTTTCTGAATTGCTTTTAGATAGTGTAGAACAGAAAAAGTGGTCCTGAAGAAAACTTTTGTCTTCGCAGGCTCCACTTAGTGATTATTGGGATGATATCACTGTAGGGATGAAGGTGGAGGTCCTCAACACCAATGCAGTCCTTCCCAGCAAAGTTTACTGGATTGCTACGGTCATCCAGGTTGCAGGTTTGTGTTCGGATCTGGTTACTGGGGCTGGGTAAAAGATAAAAACTTTTCCTTCTGGAAATAAAGTGGTGTTTCATCATCATCATCATCATCATCATCATCATCATCAAACTTTATTTATAAAGCACTATAACATCAGCCACTGCTGAAACAAAGTGCTGAACACAGGAAAAATAAAAACTGAATACAAAAGCACAATAAAATCACACAGATAAATAAGTAAAATCAGCACCAATACAGTAAAAGTTGAGTAAAATCAAATCTCAGTTGGGTTGAAGGCCAGTGAGGAAAAAATAAGTTTTTAAACAAGTCTTAAAAATGGACAGTGAAGGGGCCTGTCGGACATGTAAGGGCAAGGCATTCCACAGTTTAGGGGCACTAACAGAGAAGGCCCGATCTCCTCTGAGCTTCTGTTTAGAACTGGGAATGACCAGGAGCAACTGGTCAGCAGACCTGAGTGACCGAGGAGGGGTGTAACGGTGAAGAAGCTCTGCTAAATAAGATGGGGCGAGGCTGTTTAAAGCCTTAAAAACAAACAGAAGGATTTTAAAATGGACTCTAAAACAGACAGGCAGCCAGTGGAGGGGAGCCAGGACCGGAGTGATGTGCTCTCTTCTTCGTGTTCCTGTTAAAAGACGGGCAGCAGCGTTCTGCACCAGCTGCAGACGTGCGAGGGATGACTGGTTTACTCCAAAATAAAGTGAGTTACAGTGATCCAGTCGAGATGAAATAAAAGCATGGACCACTGTTTCAAACTGTTGCCTTGAAAGAATACATTAGATTTTATCTTTGCTATTTTTCTCAGGTGATAAAAACTAGACTTAACTGTAGCCCTTATTTGACTGTCAATTTTAAAATCACTGTCCATCTTAAAACCAAGGTTTGTAGCTGTGGGCTTGACATACATTGTCAGGGGGTCTACAGGTGCTGGTCATAAAATTAGAATATCACGAAAAAGTAGATTTATTTCAGTAATTCCATTTAAAAAGTGAAACTTGTATATTATATTCATACATTACATACAAACTCATATATTTCAAATGTTTATTTCGTTTAATTTTGATGATTACAAATGCTAGTTCTATAGGCTACACAATCATGGGGAAGACTGCTGACTTGACAGTTGTCCAAAAGATGACCATCGAC